GTAGTCGGTCTTAACCTTTGGACGTGGTGAAAGTGAACATATGGCAGAATTAGAATCACGGAGGTAGATCATCATTTATACATTCAGTATGGAGGTTTCTGAAAATGCGATTTGCAGGTCCCTTGCCAGATTTAGTGCTTTGGGGGTGGGCTGGAGAGGCTGCATTCCTAGTTCGTACACACATGGACTCTGCTGGTCTTGGGGACCTAGCTTTTTTTTTTTTTTTAAGATTTATTTATTTGTGCATATAGAACTGGGGTACAGGCCAGAGGTGCAGGGGCAGTGAGAGGATCCACCAGAGATAGAGTGGGGAGCAGAACAGGCCGACTGACAAAGTACACTGCTGAGGGGAGCAGCGGGTGGGCCAGGAGAGGTCTGCTGAGCCCTGTGGGTCACCTCCAGGGGCAGGTGACCTCATGCTGAAGTGGCTTTAGCTTTTTAGTGCTGTGCTTTAACTCACTATTCCACCAGGGAGGGCCCAGGGACCTAGCTTTAATAACCACACAGCTCCCTATTGTCAGACTATCAAAGAAAGGTTTGCATTTTATGAAATCTCCCAAATTACTGTGATACTCATTTTTTTTAAATCTTATTTTATTTATTTACTTATGGTAACATTGAGCATTGTTTTACATACAACACTGTATATGATTTAGGGTTATAGGATCACACTGTGATTATAGGTTATGGGAAAAGGGGAAGTTCCAGGTTCCCTGCCCCACCAGAAGAAGGGTGGAGCTGAGCAGAGAAAAGGAGAGAAGAGAAGGAATCTGAGGAGGAAGGAAGCAGGATGGAGAGCCAGAAGGAGACGTAAGGAAGCGACATGGAACAGAGAAACATGTGAAGAAACTGTGCTTGTTTCTTGGCCCTGGACTGGTTGAAAGAGATGTGGGTGAGAGACCCGTGGAGAGGTAACTATGACAGCTTTTACATTGATTTTGATTGTGTTCTTTTCCTCCCAGACTAGTTTGGCTATTTCTATATGGGTTCCGGCCAGAAGGTGCTTTAGGCTTGTGGCAGGCTTTCAAGCCTTGCTTTGGGCCAATCCCTTTTGGGTTGACTTTTGTCCAAGAGGGGATGGGTAACTTCAGGTGTTTGATTTAGAAATTATATTCTTTGTCTTCCATATTGTATACTCACTGTGTTAAAGTTCCTTTTCATTGAAGTCTTATATATTTTATCTTGATGCGGCAGATGGCAGAACCTATTTAGAGCAGGCAGTTTTATGGGTTCAGTGGTGCCCCTCTCTCCCTGCCCTGTAACAACACCTCTTCAGGTATATGGATAACCCATTTCTTAACCACTAATCAATTGAATATTTTTGTACTTTTCTCCATCAACTTTCCCAGATCCTTTTTCATGCTCTTCACATATTTAGGGACATTTATAGCTATACCTGTTTGTTTGTTTTTTGTTAATATCCCCTGATTCTGCAGAGGCAAAGCTACATGTTAACTTTAATCCCTTACATATTAATTATTGCAATTTCTCAGTTTCACTATAATTATAATAAATTATAAAATGGAATCTTTGGAAATTATCCATTTACTTGTCTGTCAGTGAATTTACTGAGATAAACTTATGAAATTACACTAGCACTAATATAAAAGTTGACATGTATCATAAACTATTCTTACAGTTTCCTATGTGTTCACTTATTTAAATCTTCAAGACAACCCAAAGAAGTCAGTTTTATTATCATCCTCATTTGATAAAGGTGGAAACAGGTTCCGAAGCTTTCCCCAAGCCATACAGCTGATGAGTGAAGAATCTAGGCAGTATGACTGAAATAAAAATAAAAAAAAAATTAAAAGCTATTTGTGCATGTCAGTGATTTTTTTTAATTTTAAAACATTTCTCAATATTCACAAATTTCTCCACAATTACACTACTGAGAATATTCTATCAATACTTTTGAACAACATCATCAAAAAGAGGTCATTCAAATACTGCTAATCCCCTCTTTCTCTTTGACCATTCTTTGCAACAGCATGGGACAAGGATTCCACTTCCAAGTTGATCATATGGAAGATGGTTTATTGGAAACATGCTTTCCATGAATTTTAGAAAAACAAAAGGAGCAAAGAACATCCTGATACTCTTTGAAAGAGGTTATCAAAATTTGATTAAGGATTATCCCATGCATGTGACATTGTTTAGATGTGACTCAAGGCAGAATTCTCCTTTGTTTCTTTTTAAATACAGTTTCTCATAGAAGTAGCTTAGGATAAAATGCAAGAACACTTATATTATTTGGGAGTTACTATGCAAAATATTCAAGTAAATAGAATCATAGCCATCTTTTAGTAAGGGAAATACCCCATAGTATAATTTTTTAGGTGAATCTAAATTCTAGGTAGTTTTCAAAGGTTGAACCAGTACGGTCCAAATCCTAATACTCAGACTCAGGTCTCCTGCCTGCTTCTAGCATAGGAGGCTGAAGACCGCCTCTGATCCCAGGAGCCCTCTTAACCTTTTAAAATACCGGACCTGCTGTAATTTAGACTCAGTGAAACTAAGTCTTGGAAATATTTTAAGAAATTAAATTCCTGTGTATTTAAACATACAAAATTGTGCTATTCTGAACTGCCAGTGTCTGAACTTTCAGCTTTATTTCATTTGATGAAAACAGAACATAGAGCAAATTTTTTAAAGATAACCTTGTAAAACTAATGAGGTTTCCTGAAGAAGAGACTGTTACTATTTTCAATAGAAATCATTTCTATTTAATCAAATTGTGATGTTTTATGTTGCAGATTCTTTTGGACCCAGACTTTGGTTGCCTAACATCCTGTTATTGAGCCGGAGGCTAATGGGGATCCACAGAAGCCCAGTTAGCTAATCACGAGTGAGAAAAGATCCCCCATCCTCTAGAGGCCGCCCGCTTTATGCAGCGGCTGCAGAACCTTTGAAAACTACCTAGAATTTAGATTCACCTAAACTAAAACATGATGTCTACACAGAAATGAGGTAGTAGAAAACCTAACCTAAAAGTGACTGAGGACTGATTCTAAAATGCACACTCCTGGGTGGAGACTTAAGATGCTAATGAGACATGTGACATAAGAAGAATATGTAGCCAGTCTCACATCCCCCAGTGTAGCCCAGCCTGATGATGCACACTGTGATGCTGCTCCTTGCTACCTTATGCTAATAACCAGCCCAAAGAAGCAGGACCCCAAGTACTCTCAGACCTCGAGTGTGGCTCAGGACAGCTGGCACCCTTTTCCATTCATGTGATCCACAGTAACTATTTCTTGTTTGAAGCCTATTATTGGTTCTTTAAAAATGTGTGTAGGGCCCTCCCTGGTGGCGCAGCGGGTTAAAGCACAGCACTAAGAAGCTTAAGTCACTTCAGCATGAGTTCGATCCCCGCCTGCCCTGGAGGTGACCCACATAGCACAGCAGACCTCTCCTGATCAGCCCGTTGCACCCCTCAGCAATGTACCTCATCAGTCGGCTGTTCTGCGCCCCACTCTGTCTCTTGTGAATCCTCTCACCCGCCACATCCCTGGCCTATACCCCAGTTCTGTATGAATAAATAAATCTTAAAAAAAAAAATGTGCAGGATTAATTGGTAGAAATCAAATAAAGTCCCTCTGTAATTAGTAATGCCTACAATTTAATGACAAGGCATGGATTTATGAAATCATAAATAGCTGTGACTATAAAATTATATAAGTTAAAAAAAATAACACCAGCATTAGGAACACAAATCTTATACCTGTTTTGGTCAGTAATAAGTAATATGATCTCCAGCAAACAGTTTCTCAATTTCACATCTGAAAAAACAGTATGTAACCAAATGTTTAAAATATTAGAGAAAGAAGGACTATAATTAATCTAGTAGCTCCCAGCCTGAGATTTTGGGCCAGCTAACTTAATGATGCTTTTTGATAGGTAATAGAGTTATTTTCCTTACATGAGTTCTAACTAAGACTCCTTGCAGGAGGGCCAGGATGTAAAGTCACAAACAGAAAAAAAGTTATTATGACATGGAAAAAATAACCACTCATAAATCAAATCACTTAAAAAGAAAATAATCTACTTGCTTCCTCATGCTAGCTTTTCAGCTAGTCTTGTCTTTGGCTTCAATACCTCCTCTTTTTGATTGTTACTTGATGCTTGTAATCTACCCACACAGCACAAGTCAGGCAGCAATCAACTGCAAACTAAACAAAGATCTAGCTTATGAAGGGTGCCGTTACAGGACAGGAGGCGAGGCATTCCAGAACCCCCAAACCTGTCCATTCTAAATAGGTTCTACCATCTGCTGCATTAAGCCAAAACATGTAAGACCTTTAATGAAAGAAACTTGAATTCAATTAGTGTGCAACAAAGAAAAGACAAAGAATATAGCTTTCAAATCAAGCACCCAAAGTAGAGTTACCCCTCTCCTTGTGGGCAAATGCCCAGCCAAACAGGGTTGGTCAAAAGCAGGGCCTCTGTGGCTTGAAAAACCTCTCACAAGTCTAAGGTACCACCTGGTGGCAACCCATAGGAAGGGGGTAAGTGGGGCCCAGCACATCTGGAGCAAAGGAGCAAGATCAAGATAAAAGCTACCTTCGTGAACGTCCCCACGGGTCTCTCACCCACATCTGTTTGAGTCAGTCCAGGACCAAGAAAGCAAGCAGTTTTTTTCACATGTCTTTCTGCTCCATGTGTCTCTGTGTCTCTATCCCTCTTCTTTCTCCAGTCTCTTCTCCAGCTTCTTTTCTTTCCTCCTCAGTTCCACACTCCTTTGGGCAGGGCAGGGAAACTAGAACACGGTTTTCCTGAGGACCACCTTGTTACAATGGGATTGCAAAATAATTTGAAAATCAAAGGATTAAAAAGGTCTTTAGACCTTGATTATTATGTATCTCCTTATGTGTCTCCAGCCCCAAAATGATTCTTCTTATGAACTTGTAGAGAAACTTAAATGTGAGTGGACAGCTTATTGAAAAAAATTACATCAACCAAAAAATGACAAACACCATTCTTGTCACTCTCTTTATTATTCTATTGCTCCAGGGCAACCCCAGGAAAAGTGGGGGTGATTTGGGTTGTAAGTCTTACCTGTGGACTTAAGAACTCAGGAAAAGGTCCAAAAGCAGACATGCAGAGAGAATCAAAACAATAATTTACAAAGGGAGTAAGAAGAGGGAGAATGGAGATAAAGAGATTAGATGACTCATTTATCCTATCATCAATAGCATCTGAGCCTGACGAAGATGTAAGTCAAAGCCGGGAAGCAAGAGAACAAGGCCAGCCTGTTGTCTTTTAAGTCCAACATGGCCCTTCAGCTCCACTTCAGGCCAGCAGCACCCACCCATTCAGAGAGGGAAGTTCATGGCATTCTGGGAGTTGTCCTCAGGCCTTGTAATCTCAGGTGGGAAATAGGGTGGAGTTTGGAAAAGTCAAGGGTTACAGATCATTCAGGATGTCATTTGCCACTTGGGAGTTTGCTCCTCATTGTTTTCTAACAGTATGATACCTTTAGGGAGAAACACACTTTCAGTTACAACTATCTTTGAAATAAATTTATTTTCATAAATTTAAACTTCAATTTTTAAGGCAGAGTGAACTCTGTTTTACATGGATTCACATTTAATGACTCCTTTCTGGAACCAATTATTATCTATAATCATCACTGCCTATATTTTAAACTGCCTGATGGAAATAATAAATTTTACTACAGTTGACCTACACAAGCCAATAGCATTTCCACCCATATGGAAAGTTCTTCAGCTTTGGCCAATAGTATTTTCACCAGCGTGGTAGCCCTGGATTTTTTACACTAATTAGAAGTGATGGTTAATATATTTTGTTAATAAAAATCTGACAAAGAACTTATTAGTCGTTACATGGCTTTTGGTCAGCAAAATTTTCTTAATACAGGGCCTGTGCTGAGAGAGTGAATAATAAAAGTGGATCTTAATATGAATAGGTTAGGCTATAACAACATACACCAACATTTAAATTTTACAGAAACAGACTAAGGCCAAATGAGGTTACAACTTGCCAAAATCCTCTTCCAACTCTGAATTTTTATTTGTCTAGAGACTCTATGTTACATTCTTAAGTCATCCATATATTACAGAGTTTAATAAATCTCACTGGTGATAAATATATTTCTACAGTTCAACTAAAATCCATTTCCTCTGTAGGTAAATTCGTTCCATCATACCTTAAGAGAGTGACTGATTAATTAAAACAATCCCTTGGCTTGTATTATAGTGAGCTGATGCTTGGTCTTAGTTACTTTAGCACAGTAATCTCTACTAGTAAAACATATTTATAAAAACATGTATAACATATGCATTAAATCCCCATCACAGAACATGTGGTTTTAAATAATAAAAAAAGAACTGGCAAAAGCATTTTATGCTCTGCCAAACCCAGAACAAAATGGCCTATGAAATTTAACTAAGGCTTAAGCCAGTGGTTCCGGTTTTTTCCTCTCTGAATTCTTTGTCCCCCTTGAAGACAAAGCCTCTCTTTAATTTGTGGTGTTTACATTATCAAGGCAATGTTTTGTCATTTTCCTGTTTTCTAGGAAATGGAAAAGACTATTAATGAATACAGAGAAATAAGGATAGTCCTCACTTTAAAAAACCTCATGCTCAATATTATTAAGAGTCAATTTGGAATTGCCCGATGAATAAGATAAATATACTTAATTTTTTATATGAGTCATCTCAACATTCCACAGAATATTACTGATTAAAATAACGAACTTGCTAAAATGTTGCTGGGACTATCTAAATAACTTCAATGATATACAACTCTTCAATTTTCTTTGATCCCGAGAGCCTTTCGGTAGGAAAGGGTTGGCTCCTCCCCAGCGAACTGGTTACTATTTTATAACAAAAAACACATCTCAGCCTCAATTTTGTCATGCACATTTATTTAACAAATACTAAGAAGCAGGTTCAAAAACAGTTCTTCCAACTTTATCTGAAAGCTTGAAGACATGCCAGCAATCTGTTCTTTAGAGAGTCTCTACAAGGGTTAACTTGGACACAGAGGCAACAATAGTCCACACGCAGAATTCTGTACTTTATGGTCTAGTTTACACAGCCACTGAGCCATGGAACCAAGGAGAGGACACAGGATCACCGAACAGTCCAGCCCTAGGTCCTCTCCTGCTGGCCCAGGTCAGACTTCACCAGAGTTCTACGGGTATAAAAAGCACCTCGAAAGTTCCTCAGCAATCCAAGAATACCTTTAATGTCACCAGCGATGGCCCCTTTCTAACATTCATTGTGCCTATAAATAAACCACGAATTTCTCAGATACAAACCACTCCTGACATTTAGCATGCTAATTAGCCAAGTCTCAGGTATTGAGATGCAGAGAGCTAAAACACTTACTTGTATTAGTTACTTCTGAAAAGTGGCATTTCTGATCAATTATTTGTTGCACACCTCTGGAATCACCACTAAGGCAACTGGCTGCCCCCTGGATGAAAGAGGAAACAGAAACACCCATGTGAGATATTATACTGTCTATGATAGAACATTTGAAAAGAAAGATTTCATACCCAACTCTTTATTATTATTACATTTTGAGATAGCATTTATAGCAGTGACTAGTGAAATAACAAAGGAAGAAATTTTGGGTAGAATTCACTTTTCATTTCTAAAGCTACTGAGTGTTTTCTTTGTTTGGATAGTTAATTTTCACTTTCCCCTATATATTTTATTAACTTTTATATTTATGAACTGGTAAATACTATTCATGATAGAGATCTTGAATAGTTAATTTACTGCTATGTTAAACTTGGAGTGCATTATATTTTGCCTCAATTCCTGATGAAATTGAAAGCACTCAGTCAGAGAGGGCTTGAAACAGAATCGTCTTTAAAGGAAAAGGAATGTTACTGTTGCTTTTCTTTCCCTTTTTAATGCTAGTTGCTAAGCATTAGAATTGTGGGAACTATTTTTAAATGTAAAAGCATTTTCATTATCTAGTTCTTATGAATTCATATGTACACAGAGGCATCTTCTAAAATAGTGAACAGGATTTGACACTGAGTCGAGAAAAATAACCATTATGGCCAATCTTTTAAAGAAGAATATTCTAAATTGACATTCCAGAAAAACTAGGAGAGCCAGAAAGGGTGACTTAAATGCTATTGTCCTTTCAGCCTGTTGTGCTAGGGAAAGTAAACTGACATTTGTTGAGTCACTATGCCTCAGGCACTGTGCCAAGTACTGTACAGGCATTAAAATATTAAATACACTCACCATCTTTCTACTACATGTGCCAACAATATATAGTTGTTAGAAGAAGAGGTCTTGAAATCAAGACATTTGGGTTCAAATTGTAGTCCTAAGACACTCTCTCTGGGAACTTTACCAAACTCTTTTCTCAATCTCAGTTTCTTCATCAGCAAATAACATAGTACATAGTTTATCTTATGTGAGCCTGAATGTATGAATGTATATGTGTATATATGTGTTAACAGCTAACAAATACCCATCACTAAAAAAAACCAAAACAAAACAAAACAACTATATTCTTATTGTTAATGAACTTGCATTTCTAACTAAGAAATATGTTATAGTAACTTGTGTTCCTCCAATTCTTTTTTTTTTTTAAGATTATTTATTTATTTATTTATGCATACAGAACTGGTGTTCAGGCCAGAGGTACAGGAGCAGTAAGAGGATTCGCCAGAATCAGAGGGGGGAGCAGAACAGGCCCAATGATGAAGTACACTGCTGAGGGGAGCAGCGGGCAAGACAGGAGAGGTCTGCTGAGCCATGTGGATCACCTCCCAGCCGGGGATCAAACTTGTACTGAAGAGGTTGTGGCTAGCTTGCAGTGTTGCGCTTTAACTCATGACGCCACCAGGGTGGGCCCTATCCCTCCAATTCTGTTTTAGCTCTAGACCCTTGTGCCCCAGAATGTATTTGAAGGCAGGATCCTTAAAGAGATGATAAACTTAAAATGAGGCCTGTCCAATTTGACTGGTGTCTTTATGAGGTGAGGAAATTTGGGCACACAGATACCATGGAGTGTGGGTGCACACAGAGAAAAGGTCACCTGAGGATACTGCAGTCTGTAGCCCTCTGCAAGCCAACAAGAGAGTCTAAAGGAGAAATGAAGCCTGTGACATTCGTCTTAGACTTTTATACTCTAGAACTGTGAGAAAATAATTGGGAGCAGTGGGCAAGACAGTGAGAAGTCTGCAGTACCATATGTGGGGGTTAGCTCCCTGACGGGAGATGGAACTCAGGAGGTCACAGTAGCCATGGTGGTGTGTCATCAAGGTGATAGTGCTGAGAATTAATTCCTAGGTCGCCTGATGAAAGGCTGCCCCTGTTGTTGTTTAAACCATCCAGACTGTGGTATTCATTTATTGTATATAGTTACCCAGAATCTATTGTGCATTTTCTGCTGAGCCCAAGTGATAGAAAGATAAATTTAGCACAGTCCCTACCCTTAAAGAGTTCAGAGGAAAACAGTAAATCATGCATTTTTATAAAAATATTCCCAACTTTTCAGAAAGGAGGGTGAGTTAGGAGTTTTCTCACTTCCCAGAAACATAAGGGGAAGGAAGCATAGGAGGCAGCATAGTTATTGCTCTGGGAAGGCACTGAGCCCAGGAACTAGTTTGGCTCCAGAGGTCACTGGGTTTCTTCTTCTTTTTTAAAATCTATGGATTTATTTATTATTTATTTCTTTTTAATGATTATTTGCTTATGCATACAGAACTGGGGTACAAAGGTGTGGAGGGTGAGAGGATTTACCAGAGACAGAGTGGGGAGCAGAACGGGCAGACTGACAAAGTACACCGCTGAGGGGAACAGTGGATGGGTCAGGAGAGGTGTGCGGTGCCATGTGGGTCACCTCTGCGGTGAGGATCGAACTTGTGCTACAGTGGCTTCAGAGAGCTTCATTATGCTGTGCTTTAACCCCTGGTGCTACCAGGGAGGGCCCAGTCACTGGGTTTCTAATAAATGATCATGGCATAGGAAAAAAAAAGAAAAAAAGAGCCTATGAAAGTGCTACAAAATCTTTGCATTTTGTAGGTGCCTCTGTTGCTTTCACTCCAAATTATTATTTTTTTAAAATATTTGTTTATTTATGTACAGGCCAGGAGAGGGGTGAGAGGATTCACCAGAGACAGAGTTGGGAGCAGAACAGGCAGATGAACTGAGATACACTGCTGAGGGGAGCAGTGAGATAAGAGAGGTCTGCTGCGCCATGTGAGTCACCTCCCTGGCAGGGGATCGAACTCATACTACAGTGGACAGTTTCATAGTGCTGAGCTTTAACCCTTGTGCCACCAGGGAGGCCCCGAATTATTTTTAAAAACACATTCACTTCTTGTCATCTCTCACCCTACCAGACTGCCTAAGCCTTTATTTCCTGTTGCACTTACAGTAGCTTTGCGCTTCTACCATTGCCCCTCAAGAACTCACTTTATACAGTACTAGTAGCCAGCATGATCCTAAACCCTAAATCTAGTCATACCATTTCTGTGTTTGAAACAGTGAAGATTCCCTGTTTCCATTTAGTGAAACAAAGTAAAGCCACTTCCTCTGCCTCTCAGGTCCTCTGTATTCTAGCTCCTGCCCACCCCTCTGACCTCACTGACAATCACCCCTGCCCACTTCCTTCTGGAAGCATGCCCAGCTCTTCCCCATTTTAACATTGTTCCATAAGCTGTTTTCTCTCTGCCTGGAATATCTACAGCAGAAGTTTACATACCTGTCACCTTCTTTGCATTTTGGCTTAAATATAATCTCTTTAGGGAGACCACTTTCGAGAACATAATCTAAAATTACTGACCAGACACTGTATATCAAGTTATTTTCCTATTATCATAGCACATCTCACTAACTGGTATTTCCTTATTTGATTATCTGCCCATTCCCAGACCTTCTAGAATATACATTTCTTGTTCCAACTCCTACAATAGGGTGGGTTAATTAGGGTATTGATATAGAATGAAGCACTGATAGAATCTATAAAACTATGGAACGCACACCATGGTAAGGTAAAGTGAAATTAGTGTGAGCATGCACACTGGACTCTGTCCACAAAAATGCAGTGTATTATATTTCTTCTTCATGAGGTAGTTTAAGACAAACACACGACTAATGAATAATAACTTATTTCACTTAGAAAATTACTTTCTCAGGGACCTCCCTGTTGGTGCAAGGAATTAAGTCTCAGCACTATGAAGCTATCAGCAGCCACTGCAGCCATGAGTTCAATTCCCTGGCTGGCAGACCTCTCCTGACCTGCCCACTGCTGCCTTCAGCAGTATATTTCAGTCACTCTGACTCTTCTGCTTCCCACACTCTCTCTGGAGAATTCTCTCATACACACCCTGCCCCCCCCCCCCCCCCCCCTTTTGTTTTTTCCCCCGTTTCTTTTTTCCAATTTTAAACTTTTTAAGGAAATTTAATTTTCCGGAAAGCACTCTGATCACATAGATTCAAGTAGTCCTTTCGCAGAAACACTCATTTCATTGACTTTTTCTTGCAATTTCTAATTTCCTTTTTTGCTTTTTAAAGATTTATTTATTTATGCATACAAGAGCTGGGGTGTAAGCCAGAGGTGTCAGGGTGGGAGGATTCACTAGAGACAGAATGGGGAACAAAATAGGCAGATGTACTGAAATACACTGCTGAGGGGAGCAGCAGGCAAGACAGGAGAGGTCTGCTGCACCTAGTGGGTCAGCTCCCTAGCCAGGGATTGAGTTAGTGCTGTGGCTGCAGATAGCTTCATAGTGCTGAGACTTAACCCTTTGCATCACTAGAGAAGTCCCTCTAAATTCTTTCATGTGAAGAAACTTTTGAAACATCTGTGGTGACTGCAGGTGATTCCTTTGTTCTTCTATGTCCATTTTACTTGTGATTTTTTTTTTTAACTCAAATTACTTCAACTTTAAATTTGTCTGAGGTGGCAGAAATGGGCTAAGTTGACATTAAAATTCAGATCAAGTTACAACTGCATTACTACTGTTTAAAAAAGGGACATGAAGGACTTACACTCAAAATAAAATTGTCATATATTTTTTTAATATGTTCACTAGGATTTTAAGAAGGTAATTTAGATGTATAAAAACTACTGCCGCGTGTGTGTGTATTATTTTCTGTGAAATAGCTCATCAGTTTTAAACATGTATAACATTATTAGACTGTGGACATGGAAAGCTATGCTTATTGTATAATTATTAGGATAATAAAATGACCCATGAAATAATTAGGAAGGCTGTACCTCTTACAGCTGCTTAAGGAGAGAACATTGCTTGCCCAGGGGCCCTCTTTTGTATAGTTCTATCCACTGTTCCTGAGTGCCAAATGTTCCTTTAGAGTATTATTGATACTCTATTATTTTGTTCAAACAAATGACGATGTAGTTTTTAGTTTTTGGACACAGCAAACTCATGTCCTCAAAGGAGGAGGTACAAGAGACAGGAAATAGGGAAGGAGCCTTTA